TCAGTCATATAATAATAAATATATTTTCTTTAGTTACTAATCACTAAAATATATTTAAATATTATTATAATCTGTTTTTATATTAAGGTATGTTGTGTTTAATTGTGTGGCTCTTTATGGAGAAAACAATTATTTTATAAAATGTTCATTATTTGTAAAGTTTTAAATAGTTTTTGATTGTTTTACTTGAGATCTAAAGGAATATGAAAATTTAAAACTCAGACTGGCTGGTGGACTTGGTACATTTCCCTTCAGAGTTAATTATCATTTATTCCACGAAGAAATATTTCAAAATTGCATTCTGATCAACATTCACAACTGTATATAAAGCTGATTTTGAGGCAGTGTACTGAATAACGTCTTGATTATTTATGGGACTGAGGTAAATCACCCGTTTAACAGGTAAAAAATGTTTGCAAAATAAATTAAAATTAAATTCTTAACATTTAGCTATTACTCAATTTTCACATTGTTAACTGATATTAATTTGAAGAAGTATTTCTCACTTCCTAAATACCCTTACAATCAGAATTTACTTTTAGTTCTGTATGTCACTAGAACCATGCTTGACTTTTTGTTTTATTTTGCAATGTGTTGGTAAAATACAATTGGAAAATGTATGAAATGGAATATTTGTTTTTAATAATAAGACTATTAAGAACATTCTGTAAATCAGTAATAGCTAGCACTTTTAGTACAATAATATACTATAGAATTATAGTATTTTAATTTATGTGTCCTGCAAGGTTAGGCAGGTATTTAAAGAAAATACAAAATTATTTCCCTTTTTATTGTGTAGCATGAACCTTATGAGCACAAATATGCGATTGGTGTTTCTGAAATATATATGAATAAGTGCTGACACTTATTCGAGGGTTGCCTGACTCAGTACTTTGTTTCTGGTTTATTACAAAGGATATGCTTTCACATAATGAATTTTACTAGATACTCAAGATAAATTATTTTTAAATTACATGGTTTCAAAATTTATTTCTTTACATTTTTGTCATTCTTAATTTTTACTAAATGTTGGTAGATTATTCTGATATTTTCCCATGTCTAAAATTTCATTTAAATCCATTTTTTTAGGACACAACATATACTTTTTGTATTATGCTTCAAATGATAGTTCTCAATTTTTTCTGCTTTCTTTCTAAAATGAAAACAATTCTGACTATTTTATTGAAAATATAAACAGTAAAAAAATGGCCACTTTTGAAATATTTAACACTATAAATTGTACGACAGTTGTAATTACCATGTTTTCCTAACAGTCATCTCTATATCTTATCCTTTGGACCTGTATATGATGTTTTGGGCTATTGTATTTAATTTAAGCCTGTGTTCACTATCCCTGACTCATATCAGAGATTTACTGTAAGTCTAAGCAGAGCTATTTTCAGTTATTCTAAGATATCAGATATCTATAATTGTCAATCTGTAACTTTAAATTTAATTGGGACAAAACTTCTCTAGATAAGTTAATTATGGTACATTAGAAAAACACCATATGGAGAAGATACTTTCTAGGAGCATTTTAGAGATTTCAAATTCTTTCAAAGTTTAGAAATTTTTAATCTTAGCAGTCTCAAATATAGGTTTCATTTGGGGTACTTTTACCATTTAGCAAATTCAACACACATAGATTTAAAGAGTTCACAAAATCTGTGTTTCTACTTAAATTCTACTTGTACTTTGTTTCTTGGTCCAGACATTGGTTTTGCTTATATTTCTTACCATTATACCAAGAGAGCAAATGATCCTGGATCTGCTACAGTACTTGTGTGCCCCAAGTTTACATTTCTACGTTTACCTTCCTGAGGGTTATCATACAGGGGCTGTGCATTCATCATAAAACAACAAATCTAAGCTTGAACCTATTTATGATTGCTCAGACTGGATTCCCTTTATTATCACACATCATCTCTTTGTTTTCTTTTAAATTTTCAATCTTATGCATTTTTTTCAGCAGGACTCTATAGAGCACAGATTGTGTAAAACTGAAACTCACTTTGTAATTCTTTGAATATTTCACATTTATATTCTTTGTCTTCCCCTTTCAAATTTGACAGGTTTTATTTTGCGGTCTCCCTGTATACCTCTTTTTTCAGTATTTAGTCCTGGCTCAGAACTTATCCATCATGCTCTGCTTTGCTTTGTTATTTTAACAAAAACAAACATCTTCCTCCTTTCTAAGATTGACATTGAGTATAACTAGTCCTCAGAATCTCCACTCTTCTCCTTTATAGCTGTCATTCCTTTCTATCCAGCATACTTTTAAGATCTTAAGCTCCTTGCATGGGATGGTTTATTAAATCCAACCACAGAACTGAAAGAAACAGCATAGAATAGTAAAAGTTACTGCAGGATCCAAACCCTACATGGGTGAGCCCAACAAAAATGTTGTTTATACCGAGTGTAGTGGTAATACCAGCACTCCAGAGCCCGAGGCAAAAAGACCACAAGTTCCAGACCAACCTGGACTACATAGTAAGTTCAAGACCAGTTTTAAGTACATAGTGAGACCCAGTCTCAAAACAAATTTTTTGTGTGTTTGTGGATAGGTACTTATAATTAAACCCAGGGCCTTCACACTGAGCTATATCCCCACTCCTTTTTACTTTGTATTTTTAAACAGGGCATAGATGAATTGCCTAAGCTGAGTTTGGACTTTCAAACCTTTTGCTTCAGCCTCCAAAATAGCTGGGATGACAGGTGTGTGCAAAAAGGTCAATTTCTGAATGAAATTCATTTCCCCCAAATATTACTTAGAGTCTCAATTTGGGAATCTTAAGGCCCAATAAATAGAAACACGCTTCCTTGGTTAAGTCCAGAATTTATTTGATGATAAAAGAAAGCCAGGTAGCTAGAGATCAAAATATCAGCCTGGTCAGTAGTAATGTTGCTAGAATATAGATAGCTTCAGTATATAGTGCACATGTGAGGGATGCTTCCTAAGGCAGATGGCAGGAGTGTGCTGTGCTTCCTAATGCAGAATACCAAAAGTAAATACACTTACCTGACACACAAAGAACTGGTTTTATAGCCTTCTGAGATTCACAGCTACTTCACCTTAAAAATAAAATTGTAATATTATGATTTTGAAGATGTATTACTGTAGAAGCAACAACTATTGGTATAAATGAAAATTTGCATCCTTAACATCTATGGGTGAAGAAAATTTATCAGTGTTACTTGCATTTTTATTAAGATCTTATTAGATTTCTTCCTACCCTCTCTTTTGGGATATATTTAGTTGCCATTTTCTCATATCACCATCTTTACAAATGTGATGATAGCAAAGTAGGGAAAGCAGAAAATTTCCTGGGTTGTTAGAGGTCTGAAAATACATCTGGCACATAAAAGTAATTGATAATAGTCAAAGGTGCAGAACTACTCTACTGGTGTGAAATAATTTCCCAGCAGAACTTTGAAGTTACTAATTTTTTTTTACTTCCAATTAATCTGTGAATTCCTTGTCATTTTTTTGTATATAACATGTTGAATTTCTTTCTCCTTTTTCTCTCTTTAGATTTCTTATGTTTTTTGGAAGTTTTCGGCTTATCATTGGGATTAGGAAATGTCATAAGTATTTTCCTATTTAAATTATTTTATGTTCTTTTTTTACATTATACTTTC